GGAAATTTTTGTTTGACAGCTTTCAGACTTTTCAACACAACGCTACGCAACCATCTAGTGAACAAATTCAGGTGTGGTGAATCTTAAGCGCGGGTCGCCTCCATGCAAGAAATTATTTCCTTTTCAGGTTTTAAATAGCAAATTAAATATTTCCAAGAACAACGTTTTAGTTTAGCTTTGGCATCAGGAAAAAAGATGAATTTCCAAAATACCTCCTCGTTCGCAGTGAGTTCCGAAAAAACCAGGTTCACAGTCACAGTGATAGGAGTTCAGTACATATTCAGTAACACAGCTCGCACTGTTTTTACAAGGAGCGCTTTCGCATGGAGACTAAAAGAAATAATAAAAATCAATTGCAACAAATTGGCCCTTCCTATATATATATAATCAACAAATACTCACCCCCGGTCTGTGATGATGGAAAGTATCATTTGCAAGGAAGTGTTTAGTCGCTTTGTACTTGTCAGTAGCCAACAATTCACACAGATGAAGACCTTTGGAGTCAGGATACGCTGCCAAGTTCAACGAATAACACCTTGGTTCTTCAACACAAAGAAAGATGCATTCTAACTCATTTTCCACCATGATGGATGTGAAATGAAATTGAAATTGCCAAAACAAACGTGGCCTGTTGAACTTCGATAAAGCGAGCTACCTTGTATTGCAATCGTCAGTTTTAACAAAGAAGGAAAAAACAACCAGAATGGAAGTAGCAGCATGATGGTGACCCTTGGACTGTCACCACTTGAAAGTGTTGCTTCAGAATATTGAACACCTTAAATGCGAATCAAAAATATGTCACTATTAGGTGGTTACTGTCTCGTGCTACAAAGTATTGCTATTACTCATGGAGCAGGTGCAACGCTTGGGTTGAGTCGTCAAATGCTACGGGAATTTTAAAAGATTCATCTCGTGTAGATATCAGAATAACATTTCAACAAATAAAATTTAATAAAGTTTCAACTGAAAGGAAACAAAGAGGCCATAGACACAAGAATACCAAAGAGCAGCAACTGATAACAGTCTGAACCATATGATATGTCATGAAATGAATACACAGCTCTGCGGGACGTATTTAATTTCTCTGTTCCAACCGCTAATAAAAGTTTTCTGTTTCTGCGTCCAAATAGACTAGCTTTGAACTCAAAATACTGCAGTAAAAATTTTTCAAACGGACGAAAAGTAATTTACGTCGACAGTAATTACTAACCGCCATTTGCGTGCAGTCAAGTGTGGCAGAGCAATTTCGCGTGCCTAACCCTTTTTTTTAATTTTTGTTTGTTTGTTTTTTTTTACTTTTTTTCAAGAGCAAACACATTCAGTATTCTTTACATGTGGTTAAAAATCCACAGGAGGCAATCGCTGAGGCAGTTCGAGCACATGAATTGCCATCATCTTGCTTGTTATCGTAATTTCTTCATTTAGAGTGGAATATTTCTACTGTTTTCTCTGTTGTAAGATTGAGATATTCTAACTTATTCGAACAAAATCTTGGCAAAAAGACTTTCTGGTCCTCTATGTCACGGAGAAAGGATAAAATTACCAACCTTTTACTTGTGATAACTGGTTCCTCTCAATGAGTAAATGAGGTGAGTTTTGACCATTTAAACAGACAGCGTGGTTAGAAAACCATAATCCATTGATTAGTTTGAGCGATATGCATTTAAGGCTTCTGAGTCAATGAGATAAAAAAGTGCCAAGAGAAAAACGTTATTGGCAAATTTATTCCTTTCAGTTTCAACTGACGAAAAATTAAACAAGGATTAAATAACTCCAGTCATTTATATACCAGTGAACCTCTTGCGGATGGGAAAAAAACTCTTGAAACGAGCCAGCAGCTTTTTGTCTTTTATCCTCTATAATGCGGTGTTAGACAAGGACATCCAACCCTGAGAAAGCCGTAACAACACATGTAAAAATAATAGGGTTTTTTTTTCTCGTGTTTGATATCTCCAATCAGCTGCTTTCAGGTTGATGAAGATGAAGGTCTTTTGTCAGAACTTTTTCGGATTAAGAAGGATAAAAAATTGAAAAATCCGTATCGCTTAGAGACAATGACATTCAAACTTTCCTAGAAGGGGAAGAAAAAGAAAAACCGGAAATTACGTATTCAGTGGCTTTGGTAATGGCATTTCCCGCGGCTGAGAGCAAAAATCGACAACTGAAATATTTGCCACAGGCCGATTTTTTTTGTGGGTAAGGACCAATTCAATAACTGACAATTTTATATATTGAAAATTAGGCTCATTGTTTGTTTTTGTAGAGATTCAACGCATGTATTCATCTTGAGTGCGCCGACGCACTATCTGATCTTTATGTGGGGATTGTCGATCCTTTTATTTTCATCTATAATTGAGTCGAATTTTCTTGTCAGTAAAGGGCTCTTGAGTCTATATGATAAAGAAAATAATGCATGGTTACTTGTAGATGCGAAATTTCTCTTCTCGTGTTCAACTCGACATCTCACTCGCTCACTGTGAGATGTCAAAAGCGGGGCAAAATTACTCAATGCTGATTGGCTGGGACAGAGGGCATTGTTTCCTAATAACAAGGGCACTTTTAGTGATCGACTCGGGCAATTTTAGGAAAACTTTGCAAATACGCGAAAAAGCAATCCTTAATTGCCCTCGGGCCCTGCGATTACATATACAAAGCAAGTCTCGATACCACGAACGCCTTACACAAAAAGCAAAGGCGAAATGGAAAGTAAGTGATTTTGACCAAGTTGAATTCTAGTGAAAGTACGCTGACAATTTACAGTGCTAACGTATTTCAGAAGTAAGGAGTCCTGTCAGATTGAATTACGCGCCCTAAGTGGAACTTTCGTTTCATACCACGCGCAGTTTTACCTTGGTATGGCCAGTTGACATTTTGAAATACATGTTTAATTTTGCATTTATTGAAATATTCAAGTTTTGAGCTCAGCTTGGATATTTAGTCATTAACTTTTCGATCGGGGTAAGTTACACTTGAATAACCAACTTGAGAGTTTCTGCTTTTTAAATTTGTTATGCCCAACAGGAAGCCCTCACATCTTGCTAAGAATTATTCAATTCCTTTTTTTTTCTAAATAAAGTTTACGAGTCACTCCTTAATCTTTCATGCCGTAAGTAATTAAAAATCGCAAAAAGGGAGGGGCAGTGAGGATTCCTGAGCACAGTAACATCATAAAGATAATAAGAAAAAACACTGAATCATCACACAAAAAGGCTGCAAAACACCCATACGATCAATACCGCAACATGCTTTTCACTGCAGCCATGCATAATTACAAACACGACTGGACACTTGCTGAAGAACCAAACTGAAACCCAGACTGCATATTAGCATCCTCTGTGGAAAGCTCGGTTAGGTTATCCGGGTACAGTCGTATTGAACTTCAGCCAGTCGCTAACAAGGGTAAGCGATTCAAAAGGGAGACCCAGAAACCGTGTCTATCTACGCGATGGAATAACTTTGTCACCAGTATTACAACATACAAAAATTAAGGCTCTGCGACTACATATGCTTTGTTGATTCACCACTGTATCTAACACCAATGGAAGGAATGGCGATTGATGCACACGTACACTGTTCTGGTTAAAGGTATTGTGGAGCTAGAAATGTTAAAGTAAGCTCTTATGTTTCCAAGTGTTCGTGACGTGTTTTCCCTCAAAGATCTTTACAAATTCAGTAATACGTTGGCCAGTTGTTCTTAAAGGACAGGTAGCGAACAATTAGACTTTCTTAATTCTTCCTTTAATTTTTGAACAACACTCCGTAACTCGCGGAACGAAACAAAAAAATGCGGCCACAACCTGTGCGGATTCGGGAGTATTGGACAGCGCTCCCTGCTGTTTTTTCATGGATTTTTGGTTGAGTGCGATGTGTCGCTATGTAGTTTTCTTGTTTTCTTTTTTTAATTTTTAATTTTTTTCAGTTTGGTCAACGTAAAGCAACAAGCGGAACGAAAACATTGTCGTGTTGATATTTCACACGAAGTGTGGAGGATGTTGAAAATGAGGAGGTGGGTGAAACGTTTTGATCTAGTACAAATTTAACAAAGGTATAATTTTTTTTCATGTATATCCACAAGAATAACTTAAGTTTCAAGGATATCAGTATACTTGTGTAGAACGTGATAAATCTACTCCATTTGCATTATGTATTTTTTTTAATTTGTAGGTGTTGATACCCTGCTCTTTCTGCTTCTTCTGCTTTCAGTTCTGCTTCCCCTGTAGTTAGTGGCTTTATACTTTTCACAAAGCATCAAACTTATTTTCTGTTCAGGTGATGATTTCTTCAGAGATTATATGACAGTTTTATGACTTCTCTAAGAATGATGTGCTATCTGTGAATACCAAAGTGAAACAAACCCACTGCTTCTCTTACTTCCTAACCGACTTCCCACCCTTTCTCCGTTGGTGTCAGTGTAAGAGACGTAAATATTACTTTTCTCTCCAAATATGATAACAAATTAACGTTGGGTTCCTATGATTGGATTTATTTTCTCTGAATAGGCTATTTCAATGCACGTTAAAAGGAAATGTTTTGGACCTTATTACCGTAAATATCTGTTTCATTTTCACGGCGCAAAATCTGCTCGAGATAAAACTTCGATTGATGTGTGCATGAGTATAAGTGGAATGTGCAAAAGATTTGTTATACAACGATTATCGACAGGCGTTTAGAGAAAGTTTCCAACGTAACAATTTTTACCCTGAGCGTTCCGCCATCTCATGCAGCGTTGCTATGGCTTTGTGTTGTCATTCCCAGTTTCTTACCGCACCAGAAGACAAAGGCGCAGTCGTTTTTCAGCTCTCTCAAAATGAACCACAGTGGCTTATTAAGAGTAGGTATGACTTGCAGTAACATTTTTTTGCTTTCAGCAAAATCAATATTCATACAGCAAACAATGCAACTTAAGCCTTTATTATCTATCTTCAAGTTTGCCGCAGCTTTCACAGCTATTGGTATAATATAAGCATGATAATAAGCATGATATAAGCATGATATAAGCATGATAATATAAGTAGGCGAGTAAATATTTCTCCGCACTGGAATTCAGGCAGTTGGTACACCTGCAAGAAAAATAAAAAACGAACACTTATCAGAATTTTTCGGACGTCAATGCTATCCACGGCTAGTGTAAAACTGCAATCCACACAGTCACGTGTTCTTTCTTGCACTTTCGGCCCGTCTCGTTTATTCACTTGGTGCGTTCCTATTGGCTCCTTGCTCTATTCTCCTTTATTCTAATTGCATATTGTGATGTTTTTGGTTTGGCGACACTCATATTAAAAGCGCTCTTCAACGTATCCAATTTTCTCTTTCTTCCAATCTTAGCGTCGTAAGTTCGGTAAAATTGTTTTTCATATCTATTGACATGGTGTGATGCTACTCTGGTTTAAAGATTTAATGAATATAACCGAGATGTCACAATTCATAGAACCAACCAACGCTTCGAAAGTCCTGTCTGGTGCCTTTATCAGGGGTGAAAACTTGTATCCCTTAGCACTATGCACAGGAGATCGAAATCTCAAACTCGATGGAAACACATTATATTCATTGAATCGGTGATTGAAATACAAATGACAGTGATACTTAGCAATGCAGACTCTGATGTTGGCGAGCCGGTTGACCCTTATAACGCCAGTTTGACAATATTTTTCTCGCAAATAAGATATATTAAAGTTCACATGGCAACCAGGTGGACAATCAGACATGATTTTATGCTACTCGGCTTTAAAAATGTTTATGAATGTAACAGGGAAATTACAATTCATAGACCAACGTTTTGAAACTCTAGTGCCTTCATCAGGGGTCACTGAAATTTGTCTTACCAAGTTCAAAGAAGTTGAGCTTCAATCTTTCTTCGCCACACCCTGGCCAGTACACCAACTGCACTCCCTCCCCAGGCCATCCACCGTTTGGATGAACACAGAAATTGTTCTTCAAATTCTTCAGGTTATTGTGTGTCGGCAACCTAAAGTGATCAAAATACTATGTAGGAGTAAACCATTATTCTCCACGAAAAGAGATATACTTTAACTGGAATATCAATTAATAAAACCGATTTTTCCACCACGAGATATTAACCACACAAAGGAAGTCATGAACACAAAGGTGTTTTTGCCTTGTGTAGGAAAAGACCCGTAAAGAATTTGGTGTTGTCGGTGTGAAAAATGCTTGGAATGCTATTTAGGTTTTAAAGAGAAACGTGCAACTTCCTGATACATATTGGAAAGCAGATGACTCAAGGCGTTGATAAATGGTGTAATTGGAGGAGAAAGAATTAGCACGAATGGAATTATATGAATTAGGTTAAAATATGAGGCAAAAGTTGTCGTGTGAATTATCACGACAGAAATAGTATGAATTAGGTTAAAATATGAGGCAAAAGTTGTCGTGTGAATTATCACGACAGAAATAGTATGAATTAGGTTAAAATATGAGGCAAAAGTTGTCATGTGAATTATCACGAGAGGGATAGTATGAATTAGCTTTAAACATGAGGCAAAAGTTGCCATATGAATTATCACGAGAGGAATTGTATGAATTAGGATAAATATAAGGCAAAAATTATGTCATTAGGTAACAGCCTTTGCATCTACAACATACCTGACATGCCTTGAAATGCTAAGATCGCATTTATCCTTTAACATAAGTTTCTTTCCATAAGTAGGGTTATTGTCTGCCAAAAATAAGAGGGAGAAACAGGCAAACAAATTTCGAGTCTCAAACAACGGATTGTGTGTGACGAACTTACGAATCTGGATTCAAATTTTTCCAAGAAGTTTCCATCGAGACAAACCATCTTCGACAAAATAGTTTTTTCCACTGGCAATTTTAATATCTCATTCCCTAGAAATGTTGGTACACGGGCAAAGTGATCTATCCCCAAAGAAGGAGAATTTTAATGGGTCGAGGCTGGAAAGGGGAATAACACCTTCGGAATGTTGGTGTTTACTGAGAAAATGTTAGGGTTCACTGCTGAAATTTTGCTGTTAATCGTAGCCCTTAGAAAACAGAAACAAAAACAACGAAAATAGTCAATAATAATTCAGATACCGTTCATAAATGATACCAAAAACAACAAAATGCAGTGTAGAAAGTAAAACAAGAAAACTGTTACCTTGTGGACAAACTTCCCTCTTGCTGCACTTATGATAAATAACTCCATCCTGGTCGAGAACAAAAATCTGATCGGTTGCATTACAAGCCGTGCCTTCCTTTTTGGTGAAGATGAGATAACTGCCGTCAGGAGGGGAACAACCTCCTTTATTTGGGGCCACACAGAAGTCACCGTAACTTCGTATTCCGCTCTCTAAAGAAACACATCAAATCGTCACTTCGATGTACCTAGCTTGGTCAATACGCTATCAGGTATAATCAGGTATAATAACTTACCAGGGCAAGACATGCAGTCTCTTTCATGCTTTGTCTGAATGCTTGGATCACACAGTTTTCCACCGCAACGTCGTTTGGGGTTTGTACATGTTCTGTACCTTCGCTGCTTACCAGGCTCGCACAATTTGTCACAGTTTCCCCATTCACCCCACTCGGTTAGTCCGCCATCCACTGAATACCAATACAAATTTTCAACAAATACAACGGGATAGAAGAAATAATTTTCAAACAAAATTAAGATCTTGAGAAATCCAAAAACTTATTTCACGAGGATTACTATTGCATTTGTAATTAGCGCATGACTCTAAAATGATAAAAAAGGCTTACCAATACCTTAAGACTAGTTAGGCGCAATCCTATTCACTTATCTAGTTCATCAGGCTAAAGTGTTTGTATGGAAAATTTCTCCCCTGCACGTCGCGGGCTCGGTGTTTACGATCTAGATTCAACATTGTTTCCGTTCAAAAATTTGCTTAGTGTTTTTTATGAGAGCAAGCAAAGCCCGGATGTCGTGATCTCGGTTTTTGATTCCAAGGTCTCTGTAAACGGGCTTACATTGTCACCATTAGGAAATACTTAACCCCGCTTGCTATAGAGGGTCTCGCCTTGTTAATCTTGGCTATCGATTGCGGGCTGAAATTCCTCATACGACCTGTGACTGGGGTAAAATTGCCTCTTGCTACACCTAACTGACATTTCCCATAACAACAGAAGAAAAAATTCGCCTCGCTATTCGGGCCAGCTGGTGAGCCGGTCACAAAAGGGGAGATCTAAGAACCCAAGCAGAACCACATAAGCAAAACAAAATTGTAAAATGTAGAAACAGTGTGGAGTAGTGATTGTTCATACCGAACTGGCCCAGTTTGTTGTACTTAAATTTAGGGTAATTCCCTGCGTTTACGTCAATACCTGGTTTTCTCTCCTCGTCACAATCATCCTCATTTAACCAGTACCAGATCACTCCTGGATTTTTCATTCCCCCATACCCAATCCAATCGGACGGATACCGGTCCGAGCCTCCCCAAATGATCGAACCCGACGGGTAGTAGGTCGTGCTGCTGGATGTGGTCAGCAGAGCCTTTTTCTCAGTTCCTTTGGCGTCAAACCACGGCATTCTCTTGTTTAACGACTTCCACCAGGAAAACTTCCAATCGTCAAATTTCCTCGTTAATTCGACGTTGGTTTGCGAATTATCCGATGCCATGAAGCTTCAATAAACACAGAAGAATCGAACTAGTTAGTGTGTGAGTGAATGAGCGAGCTAGCGGGTGGGTGGGTGTATGCGTGTGTTCAAGCGTTCGCGCACGTACGGGCACGTGAGTGAGTGGTCGAGTAAGTGAGTTCAGAGATCAATTAATTAAACCATGGAAGGCTCTTTACGAATCACGTAACAGATTAATGAATAACCGAACAAATGAATCAGTTGATTTCACTTTGTTACACCGCCTGCAGGTTGTCCAACGACGCTATCATAAGCCACAATAACCAGATGTATCCCGCCTACAGTACTCGTATATTGTACACTACACATTATTTTGTTTAATGCAGCACCTTTTTTTCAAGCAGAACGTTGCTGCAGCCGTTGCGAGTGACAGAGCTTAACAATCATGACTATCATATGTAAACTTGCTGTAGAATACGTTGGGTCATCCTGGATGTGAAGTAATGTGAATTTTTAAAATATTTGACTAAAGTTTTACAGTCACCACCAATGGTAGAGTAAAGCTATCAACAAGTGAGTTATTTCGAATAATGGAAAGAACGATTTTAAAACATCCATTTACGTACCCTCATTTTATCGGGAGAAAAGAAAGCCTTATTCAAATTATGCATCTACAAAAAGTGCACCTCGTTTCTTGCTACATACAGTTATTAGCTAGTTTACTTCAACCACTGATCTTGTAAACTGCGGATGGAATAAAGTTATGACCTTTGTCTTAGAATAAGAATCATCATTATCTTTCCTGTTTTCCTACCTGTAAGATGTAGGAGCTTCAAAAATCCCTCCCCAGTGGCGTCTAGAATGAGCATCCAGCATGTACTGGAATGTTCCATTGTTGTTCACGCTTTTAATACTGTCTGCTAAGTCTAGGATGGAGTAGTCTCGATTCAGTCCTGGATGAAGGACATTTCTAGAAATGACAGAAATATTTATCAACAAACCGTGATCGCTTTAATAACTATTCACATAACTTTACTTTCTCCATAAGGTAACGTCCTTGCACAAACCCGGCTAAACATATTTTAAAACGCATCTTTTTCAGGACTGGACACAGCATAAAAACGCAATCGTTAATATTTATTATGTAAATAGTTTGAAAACTAAAAAAAAAATGTCTTGCCATTAATACCATTAATACCATTACCAACATTATTGTATAATTATTATTATCATTCTTGTTTTTATTTCATCTTTTTGCGATCGAAGAGCATTGACCAAGTCACTTTTGGCTTTAGCCTTTCATCTCATTGGTTGAGGAGGGGCAAATGTTATCCATTACTACCTGTGAGGGACCTGTGCTCGAGTCCAGCTATTGTGAGCACTCGTCACAATAAGAGTGAAAGCTCCTTTTGCTGTTGTCATATCACAGTAGACTGGGAGGTACTGGGTATCACTGGTTTTTACCAGTTGAAAACTATCGTCATACTTGATACCAGCTCTCACTCCATGTAATTTCAAATCGTTACAAGATAGCCTGTTGAAAGAGGAACGAGTCTAAATTATGGAAGTGAAAGAATCAAAGGTTAAAAACTTAAAGGTGCACAACTCGTGCACTTTTAAAAGTCATCGTTTGCAAAGGTAAATCTACGCCCACGATAATTTGGTGTTTCATCAAGATACAAACGTTTTTGTGAATGCTGAAGATCTACTTGTTTCACAAAGCAAGGTTTGCTATTCTTCCAGAGAAATTAGGGAAATTACATATAAATATCTAATTTTATGGAAAAAGCCTTTTTCAACAAGAAAAACTTTGTAAGGAAGAGATCTACCAATATAACTCTTATACTGAACAGTGCATATGACGTGATACTTATATCTGTCCTTGATAATGTTGAAAATTCGAATTTCACCTTGTCATTGAATGACTGGCAAAAAAGAGTGTACGTTTATACCACGGCCACAGCCTTAACTTAAGACATATGCTAATCAAAATAATCTGCAAATGACTATCTGGACGTAAAAAAAAATCTGAAGTTCACCTAGCACCCTCTCTCATCCAGTATCGAACAACATTCGGTTTTGGCTTCTCTTGCTCCAGATACGAGGCGGAGCTAGCGCCACTGTTATACACCAAGGACCCTGATGAGTAGTCCACAGTTGATGCACTGCTTAATAAAAGATCGTTAGATAATCCCAGTCTGGGCATGCGCTTTCCCAAGTTGCTGTTCTCATCCCACGAGTCGAATTTCTTCACGATTTTTACTTTGGTTTGTTTGTCGCGCGTAGATAGGAATGTATAGTCACGTGGTGCTTCCCAGATCCCTCCCCAGCGGTTGTTGCCGTCTGCCTCAATTCGGTATTGAAAGAATTCCTGCTTGAAGACAAGGCAGAACAAACATAAGTGTCAATCGAAAATATTGCATTTCCATGATCAAAATATGGTGTAAAACGTGAGTGACTAAGGCAAAGCTAAAGCAATCATGAATAAAGGGGGTAAAAGCTGTTGGATGATTTCGTATGGGCACCAATTTGGCGGAAAACGCGAGTGACTGGGGCAAAGCTAAAGCGATCATCAATGAAGGGGGTACGTTTCTTGAGAAAAAGTGGTGCTGCGTCTGTTGGGGAGTATAACAAGATAATTTGGTTTTATTGACTCAGTTGATAAAACCAAATCATAAAGCAATCATGGATTTCTTGCGATAAATATTTGAAAATTGCTCTATAGTGCAATCCTGGGTTACTTCCAACAATCACTCTACAGTTGTTCTTTGATCGCTTCTCCATGGAAAATATCAACGTCTTTAAAATCCATATATCAACTCAAAAGGGACATTGGCCCACGAAGGGGAAAGCAGTCGGATGATTTCGTATGGGCACCAATTTGTAAGGAAACATCATCATTTATTTTCCTTCGACAAATATACTGAGCGTGTCCTCGAAAATCACCCCTCGATCCTTAAGAAGTCAAACTCATCTCATTGCGATGGATTCACCTGAGCTTTGTCAAAGTCTTTTATGGCGTCTGCAAGCCCTAGTATGGAATAGTCATCCTGTAAAGAAGGTTTTTTTGAGTTTCTTTCTTTGATGCTGTCTTTGTCCCACCCACTGTGGGTCTTACTCGTCACGAGTAGGGTCCAGGGCCCTCCCTCAGTCGCAAAGTCGCAATACGTTTTAACTTCATGCTGTCCAGGAGGTTTGATGGCGAAAACTCCATCTGAAAAAGAAAGAAAGAAACAAAATTCACGGTTACACTTAACTCTGGGAAAACTAATCAGCCACGCGCTTCGAATGCCACCCTCAGCCCTGCCTAAGGTCGCCCTACGATGGACTCCCGACGAACGACGAAAGAAAAGCTGTCCTAGGGAAACTTGGAGAAGAATCGTTGAAAGGGGATATAAGGGACGTAAGCTGGACGTGGGGGCACCATAACTAGCAGGCAACCGACAAAAATTAGTGGCGATAAACATTTTTATCGAAATCAAATTTTTCGACCAAAATACTATTGTGGCTTTTTCATAGCTCGAAGACAAATTTAGGTGATCACAACTCATCATAGCCATTGTGGCTAAATTAAAGCACAACCAATGTAATCAAACATTTCTTCTGACACTGAACAAAGAACTATTCCAATAATTTTGAGTTATTGGAAACAACTCAGCCTCGTAAACCATACCCAGACTTACTTGACACAGGGTTTGCTATAACCTTCAAAAGAATCTCAACAGCTGATCAGAGCGAAAATAAATATCAAAACCGGGCAATGAAGAGGAGCTGAAGCGGCCCCAAAGGTAAATGTGTGAACGTCCAAGATTACAGAGAAAATTAAAGAACAACCAATGTAATCAAACATTTCTTCTGACACTGAACAAAGAACTATTCCAATAATTTTGAGTTATTAGATTAAACAACTCAGCCTCGTAAACCATACCCAGACTTACTTGACACAGGGTTTGTCAGGAGCCCTCTGAAGTATACTTCTTTACATGAGCTAGGAGTTTCAAGAGGTCCCTCTCTCATCCAGTACCAGATATATGATGGCTGACGCTCCTTCAGGTGACCGTTGATCCAGGGAGCGGGGTGGTATTCCATATCATCCGCTACAAAAATATATCAACTATCAAATCATTATCCGAAATAAATGTTTTTAAAGGATCCGATGAGAAAGCATACACTTTATCTGTTCCTTTTTCCTCAAGATTAACGCTGCACTTCGCTTCAGGTGATTTTTACCCGCAGTAAAACGTGGGAAACTTTCGTTAAAAACTTTGTTACAAAAACATTGGTTGTCGGAATGTTTTCCTTCGAAAAATTGTAAAATAAATGTTATTAGAATTTTCAAGCCATAAAAAATAACTTAGACGACTGACAGGAAGACTAAATGTAAAAGGATAAATATATATTTCATCAGACTTTCCTTGACACATCAATGATTATCTCGAAAATCAGAATTATATGAAAGAAAATTTATTTTCTTCGCCTTCGGTATTTTTTAAAGAGTGCGTGGGAAGTTTATTGTTTGTTTATTCTATAATAGTAAAGCCTATTCACCTGTTATTGTACCCCACCAATTTCGCTGAGCATCATGGGATGTAGTTAACCTGGCATCAGAAATCCATGGCATTCTTTGTTCAATTCCTTTGTCTGAATATTCCCAATTGTCAAACTTCTTGACCAGCTCAATATCCGTTTGTTTGTTGTTGTCAGCTGTGAACGTAAAACCTCTGGGTGCCTTCCAGATACCTCCCCAGCGACCTGAAAAATAAAGCATCTTTCTTCAGATTCATTCCAGGGCTGACCATGATTTAGATTCACATTCTGTTTAATGGTCTCTAAGTGTCCTCGTGCATGAAACTCCACCGAAACACAAATAAACGTGTTAACTGTAAAAGGGTACGAAGAGCCACTACGGTGTCAAGTGATGTGAGATTTGCCCTTACATTTTAGGACGTATGGGCTTTGTAACCAACAAATGAAGGGAAAGTGGGAAGGGGCGGATGAAGCCCCTTTTAGTTCGTTTAAGTGTTTTACCCTTTTTGGAAAAAGAAATTTAGTGTAAGTGATGAAAATTTTGGCGACATAGTATCCTCCATGTTGGTGATCACGACAAGAATTGTGTTCCTCAATGTTTAGCTTAAAAAAAAGGTTAATAAGCAATTGCATTTCGTGCAATTGTTTTCTCTTTGTTAGCATATTCCCCTGCAATGTTTTTATTGAAATCATTACTTGGCGATTTGTTAGAAAAAAACACGACTTCTGCCTCTCATGTTGACCACACTTTGTTATTGCGGCCACGGAAACTCGCCGTGCTAGCCAACCCCTGCCCTGCCCGTTTGAAAGGGAACAAGGTTCCTTGAGTATAATGAATTACCTCGGCTCTGAGCTTCTAATCGATATTCAAACGTAGAGCCAGCTACTTTGATATTATCTTTAATACTGTCTGCATACTGCAGGATGGAGTAATCATCAGTCAACTTTGGAGAGTTCACGTTTCGTAATTTCACATTCTGTGCCGTCCAGCTGTTAGTATGACTGGTAACCAATAGTGTCCATCCTCCACCGTCACGCGACATATCACAGTATGCCATGATTGGCTGGGAACCTATGGGGTAAATCTTGTAGACGGCATCAGGATAATTGTGATTCGTTTCTTCGCCAACTTGTTGTAGGTGACGGCATGATATCACCTCTGAGTAGCAAGTACAAAAATTTACAATTAGTATAATTTCGCCATTGGTAAAGTTTTTGTTATATTTTTCCATTGGAATGAAAACACGGGGAGACGTGCGATGATGTTGGTGGTGATGTAACCGCTGCTAATGAAAGAATAATTATCTGAACGACTCGGTAAATGGCACCAATAAGTCAGATCTCTTCTAATCTAAAAGCAAAAAGTGAAGAGTTTGAGCCAATTGAACTCCAGAAGGTCAGGATCTTTCACAACTTGTTGAGCCGATCATTTTTTTTCATTCTCTGTTTTAGAAAAGGCATAATACGATACATGTGAAAAGGATTAGAAATTTGCACTTGAACAAACTTGTTCCCGTGATTCCCCCTTCTATTTCGGCACATTCCCCTTTGTAGCACTAACTTTTTATATAAGAAAATTTACTATTCCATTTCTCTTGTAAAATGCAACAAGAATCACACTAAAAAATTGCGACACAGGTTTTAAGAATATTTTCTAGCCTCACAGAGTAATTGCTCCTTTTTTCAGTTCATTTATGAGAGGACTAGTTAAATCAAAGAACAGAAAAAAGAAAGTAACAGAAAGTTTTAAAAGTAGATTTAAATTCACTTGGACAACTCTGAGTATTGCAATCCTCTGTCTCGTGTCGTTGTTCAAAGCAGTTAGCCCCTCCATGTAGAGGAAATGGATTGTCACAGAAGCGATGTCTTTTTCTTTTTCCACCATCACAGCCCTTGTCACAAACAGTCCATGAGGACCAATCACCCCACGCTCCATCTCGAGGCACCAGAGCTGGAATGAAACAGTTTAATAAATGCAAGCATTACAAGTGAGACTGTGATAAACAAAACCTTAGCACAAAGCGATCAATTGTCAACCAAATTTTGTTTTATTTTGTGCCATCTTTCAAGGCATTTTTAAAAACTATCGATTGTGGAAAATTTGGAAGAATACAAAAACATACTCTTGTTATTATCATCGGGAATCCTTGGAATATACTTCATTCAGCAAAACAGAAGGAGAAATGAATCTATCACATGAATTATAAATTACTTCTGAAACGGCAAACTGACTGATAATATCAGTAACAAAATCAACGACAAAAAAACAGAATGTCTCATCAAGAAGGTTAAGTTCTCCAGTTTAGTATTATCAGTACACAGATTAAACATAATTAAATTACACTTTGTTTATCATGAGTGGAAAACCCAACCTAAACTTTCCAATTTTGTCATTCGAAACCTGTTTTAACCTTTTACCTGATGCACAACCGTCCTTCGAATCAAATCCTCCCTCACAATGACACACCTTTTTGTTTGTGCAAACCTAAAGAAATAATGAATGCACATCAAACACGACATGAAAATCCTGCAAAAAAAAATTATTTCTACACAGCACTTGGGGTAAGAAATAGCGCTTTTACTTTATTAGTAGTTGTTTTTCAACAGCTCTGATTGGTGCAATTCGATCCTTGCTGTTTAACTCAGTGATTTGCTCCCTCGGCGGTTCCCTCGCTGTCCGCGGTCGGACTTCGACGGTCGACTTCGAACATTAATTATCTGTTTTATCATTGGACAAGTTTTGATTTTATCAGGAGTTTTATAAACAAAAAATTAAACACTTTTCACTTTAAACAGTTGCTGATACACACATGATGCCTGAGTTTCTACGTTTTGCTTGAAATTGAACAAAGAATTTTATGAAAACAAAGTAACATTATTTTGAGAATCGAGCATAATTTGACCATTGTTTTTGACGTAAAGTGGAATTTCCAGGAGCATAAAATGCCAGTCTTAGTATCATAATCGGGAAAGGCCTTAATTCTTTAATTATTGGATAGATAAACCATCAAACTGAGCCTAGGAACACAACTTAGACAAAATAAAAAATAAATAAACATGTTTGTGACACTTGACTCGGCGGGAAGTCTATATGCAAATCTCATAAAGGACGTGACTTTAAAGTGATCGCAAATGGGAGGATATTGTTAGGAAAAAATGTTTCTCGCTTTTGAAGGCGAAATGATGGCTGCAACAAATTGACAATAGGTATAACACAGACAAATGCATCTGCTCCATTGTATGTTAGGTTACAACAACTTTCAACTTCTTTATCAGCACTCAACATTTTTTCTTCTCCACGGCATTTTTTGGGAATTTTCTCATTTTTGTTACCCTACATAAGGAATCTTCCCTGCATCCACCTTCCAAACTGTTCTATCGTTGTCTAGCAACAACCGATCTGTTAGTCGGTTTTTAATTCATCCCCTCAGTGCTACTCATTGGATGTCCTCGCTTCGTGAGAAATGGAGAATTTGTCGATACACATTTTCTGCATGGTATTTAACTGGCTATATCTTATGCTCAGTATCCTTAATGACGATGACAGCTATAAGCGTGGACAGACTTCTCGCCTTGCTGTTGAGACTGATGTACAGACAAGTCGTGATTTTAAGGCGCATTTATATCGTCATAGCCACCTTTTGGATTATATCTGGAGTCGCTACTTTAAGTAGTCTTTTTGACTACACTATAACGTTTTGGTTTGACTGTGTCAATACGACAATTTGCCTGACAATCTCAATGGTTTCGCACGCAAAGATTTTCCGGGGTCTTCGTAGTCATAGCGCCCAAATTCAAGAACGTGTTCCGCAACAGCCAAGCCAAACAAATACACTGAACATGGCGCGATACAGGAAGGCAGTGTACAGTGCATTGTGGGTGCAATTAGCATTAGTTGTTTGTTATTTATCGTATGGTACACTGGTTATTGTGCTAAGTTTAAAGAAAACCAATTCATCAAATTTCATCTTCACTTGGGGAATAGCGCCAATATTAGTGTCCTTTAACTTAACATAAAACTCATTCCTTTACTGCTGGAAGATTAGTGAAGTAAGACAAGCAGTAAAGCAGACAGTCAGAGAAGCGCTATGTTTTATACCGAGTTAGTTAGTCCTCGAGTTATTCAATGTTGGGTTCTTTAATTTAGCTAGTGCGATAAACTCTTCGATTTTACTCCCCGATAAGAAGAAGCTTTGTCAAATCCGATAGTGAACCAAACAATGAATATTAAATCAGAGCTGGTGATTAAATTCGTGTAATCAAATTCAATTACCCTAGCGTTCTTCATCTTCTTATTGTGAACCTTTATAATGTCAGCAGGTAAGTGTCTTTAAAAATTAAAAAAAAAAACTTCGTGTCAGTTTGTAGAAATATTCGTTGATGCGTAAACGAGAAAATGTTAAAAAAAAAAGATCGCGATGCCCTGCTAAGTTGTTTATATATCGAGGTTTTCTGTGGCTTGTTGTAGATATAATTAGAAAGTAAAGATTATTTACACGCCTGCATTCACTAATCCGTTTTTTAAACAAACTGAGACGAGATCTTTTAAAGCATTACAAAAGTGGCAGAGGAGATTGGAATTTTCATTGAGCAGCTGAGGTTCTATACAAATACATAAATTCGAGAAACGTTGGCGGAAAAAAAATGAAAACATTGCATGCGACTAACTTAAACGGTAATTTGGGTATCCGGTAATCAATTAACTTTAATAAGTAAAAAATATAATTTATCAACACACGATGCCTCGTCCTTACAATGACGTTTTCTCAGATTTCCCTAAAATCCTGAGGTCAAGCCGGAACCATTACCTAAACACTACCCCCAATACATTTCGAGGATGTCCCATGCACTTGTACGCTTTCTTCCAAAAACTTTTCTCGTTGTATTCAACAGCCGTCTTATAATAGCTAATCACAATCCTAAAGCTTTAAAAACATTTTTACAATCAATGCATAACAATGCATATTAAAATATTAAATAAGGACTAACTAACTCAAACAAAGCACTAATTGAATGCCTTCCCAAAAAGAAACGTTGAAGGTTTTTCTCTGAATATATTCAAACTAGGAATAGATTGAATTGAACACGGGAGAAAATTACAAAGTCGAGGAGGGCAGAACCTCCAAAATATTGCTGGTTGTCACCTTTGGGGATGCCAATAGAATACCAAAGTCATGGTTGCGCCATAGATTATACTTGGGCGGAAGTGTAAGATATACAAATAAGATTACTCGAATACTCAAAATGTCACAAAATTGGAGAACAACTTTATACAAATAAAAATGCCTTTGAGAGAATTACTCACTCGGATAGAAAAATTCAAAGGAGACAAGATTGATTACATCGGGACAATTGTGGCATTGACAAAGAACTTGAAACACTCACCCTAAAACATAGACTTACCCCTCTTCCTCCGCACTCCTTGTTGTTCATCACTGGACACTTTCCGAAGTTGAGGGAATCAAACGTCTGACACTGGTTATCTACACACATCTGCAACAAAATGCGTTGAAGTTCTTGCCGTCATTGACTCGTCAAAACTCGGAAAACAAGGTTTAATTTACTAGGTTAGATCTCTTTTCAGTAATTCTTTCGTATAAAAAATTCCTCGTTTTTAAATATCAGTTGTGGCGTAAACGGCCCTTGAAGTGTCACATAGAAGATAACTCGCGCAAGTACCTGCAGTTTCAAAATCATTCTATACATTTTCTGCCAAACATTTCTAACAATTTAGTCTCTTAAAATTTCGGAATTTGAGTGTTAAAGTAAAAAATGCTCCCTTACTAGTAATTCGCTATCTTCTCATCATTTTTTCTACCCGAAAACGTAGTGATATTGTAATGATAAATTATTTATGAGTGGATCGTTCTGCAAGCGGATAGGGCTAAGTTTTACAGTGGTACCTTATCATCTCCGCATTTTGTCCCTTCTCTGACCATTCCCTCACCAATGTCATCTATGGACTTCAAGGTTGCAGCACTGTGGGAAGAAAGAACGCATCAGGTTGGTTAATTTTCATGGGAATCTGTGCTGTACCACCCTGGAATGGAACCCTCAGGGGTAGAGAGGTAGAGGCCGTCTAAAGTGGTCCTAGAAGCCCCGTGTGAAAGAAAAGCTCGCTAACGAGAATATCACATGGAAGGAGGCAAAGGGAACCGCCAAACAATAGACTTCGGCGGAGGTTCATAGTTGAAACCCTATTCCCTACACCCTATAGGTGTGGTGTCTCCAACCACGAAAAATTTTGATATTTTTTAATAGATTATTTACCACCGTAGCATTATACAGTGCTTTCCCTTAATAATTTTTACGGCCTGGTTTTTCCTTAAAACACTGTTCAAGATCTCTAAACTTAGTATAAACACATCAGTTGATTGTTGTTTAATATTTAAGAACATGTTTACTTACTAGTGCTTTTTTCTGCAACAGGAAAGTGAGTGAAAGTAATACCTGCATTGTTTTCCGTTATCTATACTGATCTTAGTGTACGTCCATCCGTAGTCCACAACAGGTTTATCTCTGCTGTCTTCACATTGCAGTTGACCGCATAACACGTTTCTGATAAAATCAAAAAAAAATTGGAAAACTGATAAATGACGTTTACAAAATGTACATTTAATTTTCAAATATCAGTGGTTGCTTCAAAACCATTTTTTTTTACCTCAAGATAAAATTTAAAGAAACACAAGCACGTCGATATTAGGAATTTTGCAGCGTTTGCGTACAGAATAGTTTAGAGGCTGTTGATACATACAGTAATTTCGTTTCCTTCATCTCTATAACCATTACCATTTATAGTATATATTGCTGAATGTTCAGTCTTTCGGTCTCTGGTCGCTATTAAAAAAATCATAGCCTGAGTAACCTGAGTGGACAGCTGCCCTTATAAACGTCTTGAAACACAAATTTTTTGGGTACTGTTTCGCAGGTTGCCCTGATCAGTTGTAATAAAGATAAATGATTGTGGCCTTAAACCTTTGATCCCTTCGGGTGATTAGCATCTGATTTATCCATAAAATATCACCGTGAATCAAACATTAAGGTCATGAGAATAGATAAAAGATCCTCAACTAAAGAAGGTCTTGATTGTTATACGAATTCTCCTTGTCAGCCCCTCAGGAAACGTATAGAGGATGGTATAGAGAATGAGCGTACTGATGTCAGCGTTTAAGGCTTAATTCCTAAGAAAGATTTAAAATCAGATCTTTTTTCATAATACTCTGGTCTTGTACCTCGCAGCGCATGATACATTTCTGAGTGGATCACATGTACCATATCCATCCGCTTTAGTGTTCAGTATGTTATAACATCTTTCGTCGGCATTTTTGGCGGCTGGAAAATTAACAGAAAAGCGAAAACGATAGAAGTGCTAGAAGCTCAGATCTGAGAAGATAAATGTTTTTTTCATGAGTTTAAATTAAAAAACCACGTAAATACCTACCTGAATAATTAAAGATGAAAGTGTTTAAGGGATTATCAATTTGAGTTGTTGATCTGATACATTCAATATGTAAGGGAATCAAATTTTGCATAGATATGACAAATAAATCTTACTCGATGGTTTAACACATAAAATGTGCGGATATTATGCGAACAATGAGCAAAATTTCCAATCATATTTATGTTCAACCATCGAATGCCTGCGGCCTTATCTAAGCATCTTGTCGATCACATAAGGCGCGTTGTTTATTCAAAATTCTAGCTTAAAAGGCGACAGAAAATGTCTCATTTTGGTTGGTTCTGTGCGGCCTTTTTTTGTTTCACTTTCTATCCATATTTTTACCCTGTTCTACAGTGTACGTAGTGCCGTTGCACATCTTGTGCATTCCAAAAGTAGAATGATGGTAAAGTGGTAAAACATATAAATGGTAAAATGGCGTAGTGGTGCAATAATAAATACATTCATTTCAACGTACTGGCTCCCCACAAATCCTTGCACTGAGTTTCGTGAATTTCGCTGCATTTTCCTTGATAGCAATGCGACTAATTAAAACAAAGAAAAGTTGTTTCAGTCAACGAGCATGTTGCACTCAGATGATAACAAACAGAAATGGCGGAGAAAGATGCTCTCTTATTGACACAAGCGTACAACTTCATTAGTCTATTTACACACAATGGCTCTAGAAAGCTTTTCTTAAAAGGAGCACTTGTGCGCTACCTTCTATTGCCGTGAAACTTGTGGATTTCTCTTCATTAAATCATTTACAATTTCCTTGTTTCCTAACCAATTCTTCTATACGAGCGAATATCGTCCTTACTTCTTATTGAATCATTTATAAGATTACGGTAAAACTCCATGAAAACTTGATAATGTAAAGGCTAAAGGCGCCTTTAAAATCACCATTTAAAATATTTTCCATACATTGGAGTGTTGTTTGTCTCCACTCTCTGAATAACCCGTCCACCGCTGACCATCATCACTGTAGTACAAGAAGAAGCCAGTCACCCAGTCGTACCAGTTTCCACGTCCCTGTATCAAGATTTTGTTCACCGTTCGTAGCTAAAATATGAAAAATAAGCCAAAAGTTACTGAACATCGATATTTGATTGCACTTTCCCGTAACTTGTCAGAGTCAGAAATGCAGACGAAGAAAATCCGTTGAGACTAACGTTATTTCCGAGTTTAAACTTTACTCAAATCACTTACAGCGCCAAACACATCGAGAATGTGGCTTGATACTGTGAAGCGCACGTGTTTTCTCTCGTTCCTTTAGCTTTCGATTATTGTCAACCTCCTTTTTAAGGATGCACTTCGCAACGTTCCGCTATTTTTATTTGCACCAGACTAAACTGACGTGATGTCTTTCAAAAAGCCTTTAAAACAGAAATTACATGATCAGATAAATCAAAAATTGAACGTACCTGTCCAAGATCAATCTGTATGTACTCGTCTCTTTTCTTATCTTTGGCACACCAGTACTTTCCGTTATGCAGCCTGCCATAATGTGGGAGATCTGCTGGCCTGTATGAAGACGCAGTAATTTGGCTGTCTTTGATATCACCGCTCTGCATTCCAAGAGGGTCTATACATTCTATATATGAGAGATACATTATTGCACCAGTGATGTTTGAGCACATTTCGATTGAGTTTCGCTAAAACAAATCCTACGTTTGTAGTATGACTATGGCCTACCGGAAAAAATTGACAGTCACAAGAAGCCAAAATCAGACTCCACGCTTGATACATGGGGAAAAGTGTAAAAGATGTTTCTTCACTTCTAAAATTTCAGTAAGTTCTGCAAGCGTGTAAGCAAGCGTGATAAATCTGCCACTGTTGAGTTCGATTAAAAATCACTAATATCATTTCAAACCAAAATTACACAAAACGAAGTTCAATTACCACTTTATTGCATCCATTTTGAGATCCCAAATTTAATTACCCAAAAAAAATCTTAGTTACGTTATTCAAAAACTCCTTGACATTGTATTCATCATTTTCTGCTTAAGAAAAAAAACTATAGTTTCAAGAGTAGGTGAGAGTAGTGACGTGCAGTTTGCATGTTGCAGTGCTTGGGATTTGCACGCGCGTGAAGCGCGTGTAATGCTGCAGAAAACGCGAGCGGTACTCTATATACCTTGCTTTGCAAACCATATTTCTAGCCGTTTTTCGTCGCATCCTGACCACAATACCATATGTCTGTCGACGCCGGGCCAAGCTCCATAAGTATGGATACATTTGTTACTCTTTAGATGCTTCAAAGATCGTCCTGTCAAAAAAGAGAAAATATATAGAGAGGGAGAGAAAAAAAGATAGTGACACACTTGTATTTTTCGATCGGAAATATCTCAAGGAGACGATGAGAACTCGTACTAAAATGGATCAAATCAGTATCTGAGCACCTGCACATCTACTATATTTGTATTTGCATTTGCAAGCCTGTTAGTATATTACTTTCATAATGAAGGTGTTTAAGCAAAGAAATGATGTATGTTGTGAACACTACGAATTAATTCTGGGTGTCACTTTCGCAAAAAAACTGAATGATGCATTTTCTGAGCCCCCTTACTGAAGACGTTCACGGTACTTCACGAGGGAAAAGCGCTACATTGTAAATAAATCTTACCTGATGTTCGCTCAAATTTTGAATCTTCAACTTTACAAGCACTGCTTACAACAATCTTCGCACCATTACCATCGCCGCCATTCTCAGGACAGACCATCTTCCCACTGCAACTATGACGTAAAACCCCATCGGCATCAAGCGTGAACTGAAAGTGACTTTCCGTGCACTGACCTGGTTTGTATATCAGACGGTCGTTGTCATTTGGTGAGCAAGACTGGCTTGATGGAGTGAGACAAAGATCAAGACTATAGGACTTTAGAGGTGTTGGAGCAGTTGGACCAACTGTGGAAAACAAAGGCAATTAATTTATAGCTTGATTTTTTAGAGTGCCATAAGATTGCCAGAAATCCATAAACATAACGCCAAATCAAAAACAAGGTTTTATAAAACCATATCATTGGCGTGTTAGCTGCTAACTTATAGAGGTCGCTGCACATACACAGCGTCAGATTTCAGCAAGTTTATCATGAACAACTGTCAATAAACAATCAAGTTTGTATTTTTCCTCAAAATCACTCTTGATATTTGATACTTGATATTTGCGGGTGTGGATTATTTACGAGTGTAGCCTAAACACGAGTTTTGATGGTGACATGATCTCAGCGATTCATAAAATTCGTATTTTTTTCTAATATTGCTTAAATTCCTCAAAGGTTTTAGAAGCACTAACTTTTAGGTCAAAATTTCTGATTGAAGTTACTGAATTTTTTTATTGACCCTTATTGATAAACAGTGTCTTAACTTGGCTCTTAATTTTCGAATTGTTTCAACTTTGAGTACAAACTTGCTTCTCTGGTCCCATCATCTAGGAATTTTTACATTCATTTTTTGGACTATCCGGAATCTGCATTATGTGTGCTATTAAGCCCAGTCCTTGCGGATCTGGTTAACCGAGGCTCTACTGTAGTACTTCCCCTACCACATCTCAGAAATTCTTTGAAATCAAACATTTGGAAACAGAAGAACACCTTTGCCGTCTCAACCTTTTAACTCCCATGAGTGACCAAGAGAGAATTTCCCCTTACAACATCAATACAAGTGATGAAAGTAAAGAAATATGTGAATCATGGGATTGTTGGTTGATTCAATACCAAATTAAACAAACTAACAACATAAGAATGGCATGGCAGACAGTAATTAAAATTACTAATAAGACCTTGGGTATGAAAAGTTTGGATAACTAATAAATCAATTAATTATTGCTCAATCACTTATCTATAAATTATTATTTTATTTTTTATACACTCCATATTATTTTTCAAAAATTGAGACTGGCAAGGAATCATAAAAGAAATCAAAACAATTTTTTCCACTACAGAAAAACAATTAGTTGCTAACAATTGGAATTTAATCAACTTCAAAGCACTGTAAAATCTGTCTATAGTAAAGGATGACTCATCATCGTTGAGAGCATCCCAAGCGGGAAACTACGTTCCCCACAATGCGGCAATGAAATTACATTAAAATTACCTTCATCTGTTGAACATCCCAGAAACTCGGTTCTTAGGCAAGGCCAGTCTTTCCAGTACTGAGGATTAATACGAAGATATCGAGCATAGACTCTTGGAGAGAGAGGTCTAATTTCCACACTATAATGGTTAGTGTTTCCAAGTATAACCTTTATAAAAATATAATGGTCATCGCATTAATTAGTTGCAATTAATGGATCAATGAAATTTACATACATGGGATTAATAAACCCATCATTCTATGCCCAGATTAGTAAATGATATTTGGGGACGAAATGTAGTCGAAGAGAGAATTGCAAAGTATAATATTAAATATAAGGCGAAACAAAAAGAAAGAGGGAAATGATATAAAAAGTGTGGAGCAACTAATGGTAGGCTATCATAATTTTTAGTGCAAGCATGTCTTAAATAAAACATTATATAGAAACCTTGAATTAGTATGACCATTTGATAACCACAAAACATTTTGCAAGTGCTAAACTTATCTCATCAGTAATAAATTTTTTCCTACTAGCTAATTACTGTGCAAGATAGAGCAAATAAAGGAATATATTACAAATTTACACAACTAGAATCTGCTTGCAGTTAAGTCCTTGCAACACAGTTTGAACTTTCTCTACATGTGTTCATCTAACTCCTGTTCATCACCTCTCACCTCTCACGTCTCTAAAAGTTAGTGCAATGAAGAAATTCACTAATGCAGAAATAAAACGCTGCTGCACATGCGACACTTTGCAAGCATTTACTTCCTAACATCAGCATTCATTAATTCTCCATTCTTTTACATTTTTTGATGTTTGGCGAAGAATAATTTTTTAACAATCACGAACGTAATTCATTTCTTTACTCTTGTGAATTTAATGTTTGATTCAGGGAGGATGCTGTAAAAAGAATATAGAAACCTTTTTTTTTAATCAAGTCAATCTTATGGGTCAAAAGGTTAAGTAGTGGTAAACGCGGGGTTCACTCACTGTTTTGGTCTGACTGCAGGGGTATCCATCAATTATGTATGTATCTCCTGGACACTGTAAAATAAAACAGAACTAATTTCAAAAATTAACCAAAAAAATCCTCTGCGGACAAACTTGGATATCTTGTCTAATCGCCCCTGTGGGATACAATTGCCGGGTCATTCATAAATGTGGTATGAAAAAGTCCAAAGTTAATGCATTTCTTAGAGCTATACTTACATCGCCAGAATCACCGGTGCAGTATTCTGGAACATCACAATCTGTTTCGACTTCACGGCACAACGATCCTTGTTTCTTAAACTAAAGATAAGTGAGTAAGAGGTGATGACTATTACGTTTACACATGTAACTTGGCGCTCATTTAAAATAATTTGGAGAAACTTTTCTCCTCAAAAGTTTTATTTTTGCCAAATGTCGAAAAGATAGTAGTCCCTCTGAGCACAACAACCGTGTTGTTATAGCCTAGTAACCGCGCCTCACTCTCAATCTCAATCTCAATCTCAAGAGCCTTTCTGATCGCTTCACGCAAAGACAAAAAACAAACCACAAAAAAAAACAAAAATATTGTTATTTAACCCTGAAACATGTTATAAATCCTTTTCAATTAAAAAAAAATTCGATTTTATGACTATAACATTATACCCAAAATTCAACCAGCATAATTTATCTGGCCCTAGTTCCGGGGGAATATTTCTTCTGGAAACAAAAAAGCAAAAATACCAAAAAGCGAAAAAAAATTGAAAATTCCCGGCTCCTCTGTCCCTGTATCATTTGCGTCCTTGAATCAACCGAGCGAAGTTCCACGGGTGGGCAGATTAGGGTGAAAATAGATTATAAACTATTTAAGTTCCCTAGAACCAACGGTGTGTACTCTCAGAGAATTTACATTGAAGTTCCATCAAACTTCATTATATCTAATGCAGTCAAAACTGACAGCTTCCTAAAATATAATAAAATAATTACTGCATTACATTATTTACCAGGCAGTTTTCGCAGCATGAATGATGTAGGTCACTGCACTGTGATTCCCTTTTGAGAACACACTTGTAGGGTTGACAACAGGGATCTTTTAATTCACACATCTGAGGAAAATAATGAATCTTTCCTTTTTTATGGAAAAAAAACTTTGACTTTTCTTGCGTCGATTTAGAACTTGAATCAACTAATTAACGTTCGTAAGTCAAAACTCTTAGACTATATAACAGTAATTAGCTGAATTGAAATAAACTGAATTAAGTAAATTAGAAACTAAGAATTGGAGCTTAGAGCTGGGCGAAGGCGAATTTATTGTCAGATTCGTTACCTTATTGGGTGAAAAGATTAATGTTATCGAGTTCTTTCAATGATGATCTTTTTTAGCTATATTCGTGTAAAACAGACCATCTTACGATCCGTTTTCAGACAGGCGGGATCATATTAACTAAGTTAGACATATTCTAGTGACTTGAAATATAGGAATTGACCTGACATTGACTGAATTGTGTTTAAATTATATTTCAGCCTTACTCATGTAGTAGTGAAGAAATGTAAAATGGTTTCCGTGTTTACATAGCCTGATGTAAACACTTGGGAGGTTGGGAGAACACGAGATAAGCGTAGGTAACCACGAGGCGAAGCGGATTGGTTTCCAGCTTATCGAGTGTTCTCCCAATTTCCCAAGTGTTTACATCAGGCTATGTAAACACGGAAACCATTTTACATTTCTTTTATAAAATAACTAATGAAAGAGCCTCTTCTTGCAACGAAGGAAAGCGACGTGCTTGTTGTTGTTGTTCATTTGGCTTTTCGGCCGTTTCTTGAATACTAGGAAAATTAAACTCCAAAGAAAAATTTGGAAAATCTTCTTCTTCCATTACTGTACTCAAAACAAACTTTAAAAAAATTGAGTTACTGCTAAATTAATAGCAGGGAGAACTCCGCAAGAAGATTCAGTATGAAAACTGTGTTTACATACGCTCATGTAAAATGGTTTTATGGCCAATCAGAGCGCGCGTACTTTTTGAATTATTTTATAAAATAGTCTACAGTTTAAGCCTTAAGCTCGGCTCTACATCTTTATCAGAGCCAAAAGTGTCACCACTTCTCATTATTTCCAAAATTCGTTCATTGAATAATCGAGAGACATCTAAAAAGTATTAGAACTTTTAAAAGTTTTTTTTTTTAACAATTTTTCAAAAATCGTTGTCCTATGCTCCCTCTTTTTAATTATTATTTTTTATTTTTTCATATAATCACTATCATCCTTACCTTACATAGAAAGTGACCAAGACAAAACAAAAATAGAAAAATCAAAGCAATAAAAAATAAATTATAAAAATATAACTTAACAAACCTCCGGAGTGCCACAGTCACATTCTTCTCCTTCGTCGCGAATTCCATTTCCACAATAACCGTTAGCAGACTTGAAAAACAGAATATCAAACGGAACAGAAAGTCATCTTTCTATGTATTGATTACACAGTGAAGTTATTGCATGTCAATAGGTGATGGCGAATCAATCTTTTTATATTGTTTTATCTGGAACAAGTTTTAGCTGGATAGATACCCTTCAGAGCTGCGTAGATTTGGTGACAAATGGCAAACACTGACGGGATAAAAATTCACCTAAATACCTTTGACACCAGCAAACCTCTTGACTTAACGCTGTGTATGTTTCAAGGCTGAAGTTTGGTTAATATAACATTTGATCGCTCGATTACTTTAGTAAATACTCGTTCTTGAAATCAAAATGTTTACCTTGTACGATGGCACGTTAAATAAGCACCAGTCATTCAGTTTTTGAAGCTGAGTCAAACTGCAGTTAGAAAATCCTGCAACTCTGGTCCTGCGAGCCAAATTGTATATCTCTGTGATTAGCCCGAAAAACTTGCAACAGCCTTTTTAGCACACTTCAACCTTACCGATCCCAATACACGAATGGAGGAATTAATTACGTTTGAGTTCCTTGCTATTTTTGCTCAATGTGATCCGTGGTACTTCTTGCCACGATGGGATTTTTTGAAATCGCCATTCTTTTCCTATCACGTGATTGTTCGTCTATGTCAAAGTAACCCCGATAACAGTACTGACGAAGTAAGAACGGTGTTAGTAACTTTGCAATGTTTGCCTCAAGATGGCTGCTTGTGGTTTACAGTTTGGTTTTGGTTCTGGGACACCCAATCAAAACATTTTGGAATGAGTCATGTTACTTGCCAAAGACCACTGTTTTATTCCAAATGCATTTGCTTACGGTTTTTCACCCTGTGCTACCGAATTTATCCGCGGCCAATGATCAAAACAATGACCAGAGAAATTAAAAGTATTGTTGACTGAACACTCGTCTCATGTTTCGAAATAGCATGCAGATATTTATGCTAATAATGTACAGGAAAAAATCACGCGCTTTTGATTGGTACAAAACGAGTGAATTCTCATCTACCACGAGTGCAAAGTTGTATTACAAATATTACACAAATACAACATACTGGTGACGGCCCATGACGCAACCTCTTGGGGTCAAACACTTGCAGCTTTCTGCGAAAAGAACAAATTATTTTCGATAACTTATCGAAAAGTGCAGACAATCTTGTGAATAACCACTTAGTTGTAAATTCATTTATGGGTTTGCACTACGGATTTTATCAGATAATACGTTACAATAAGCAAATAATAGAAAACCCAAACAAAAAGGGATGTGTTAACGTTTGACCTGGTAAATGCGTTTTTCATAACAGGGTATAATAATTATACTAACAATGTTCTTTACTCTCTACAGGTCAAACAACACTAGTAATTTGTAAATTTGTGAAAATATAAAATTTGTGTAAAAATAGATTATTAATCAAATAAATGAATGGATAAAGACAACAACAAATAAAGGATTAAGAAAATTCAAGTTTTTTTTTCCTGTGAATAATACAGAGAACTCTTAGTGTAATCGTGGAGTGCAATCTCGTGTTTCCTGAGATCGAATACGGAACTCAGTCACATGGGGTCTATTACTACCTGTGTCATGGCTGAATCCAAAGTTGTGACCCATTTCATGAGCAACAGTCACGTAAGGGCCAATGATACTTCCATAGTCCCACTAGAATAGTAAAGTTGAACAACTGGTGTCAGTTTAAGACAAACAGCAGCTAACAAAACTATTTGGCCTCTTTAAAATGATTCTACCTAAAAAGATTGGTTTTTTTCTTCCTTTTGTCCGTTTTTATTGTTTTATAGAGGGTTTTTACGTGTGCTATAATGCTTACGCGCATTATGTAAAATTTTAATTTATGCCATAAGTGCAAATTGATTCCACTAACTTTGTTTTTATCACAAAACCCGAATAAGCAAACATGTAATGCCGTTTTTGTTGAGGTATTTGCTATCCAGGTTGAAAGGGTAGTCTTTCTTATGATTTTCATTCATATTTGTTGACAAACAGTGTGGCAATTTTTAATTTTTTTTTCCTTTTTTTTCTAGCTTACGTTATTAACACCACTTGAAACAGAGCCACACATCGCCATCACGAATGCCATGCCAGCACAGTCAGACCAGCTCCAGTCGCTGAAACCAAAAAGAAGAGGACAACTCGAAGCAGCTCCTCTACTGAATAACGACAAATTTTTATAAGCTACGTAAAAATAATCCGATTTTTTTTGTGGCCTGAAAGACCATATAATTTTATTTCCTACTGTATTGAATTAGACTCGTTAATTGTAGCTTGTGCGTTTTAGGCCTTTAAAAGTAGCGGCTCAGTTTTTTAAAGTTACTTTAAAAAAAACTCATCCTTTTTGCATCCAAGAAATTGTCTTTGGTTTACTAACTTATTATAACCATGGCAACCGTATTAAGTAATTTGGTTTAATAGTTAGCCTCGGGCTGTGTAAATTTTATTTGCTTTATATAAAAAAGATTATACTCGGCTGCAATTACAGTAATTTTTTAAACGCTGCGTGCTTCAGTTTTCCTTTTTTTCAAACATGTCAGGAGATTTTAAGAAACCTCAGGACAGATATTAAAATCAGCATGCTGGATATTTGTCAAATCCATGCCTTGATCAATTGATTAGACTAAATCATTTTGGGATTTTTTTCTTAAGTCTACTTTTTTCATCAATTAGAAAACGTTTTGTCATCTATACATAACTGGAGGTACTCCAGATCTTTATCAGAGAAGAAGCCGGGGTAGGTCGAGGAAGTGACCGTGGTTGACGACAAGTTTACACATGATCACATTTAAGTCAATAAAATCAATTAATACAAGTAATCATTGTCTTTGAAACGAACATCTTGATCAATGTAGTTTTTAATTCGCAAGAAACTCCCTCAATAGCGACTTTTTTAATCCCTAAGTCGTTTGGAATCTTTGACTTAAAAGGAACTGAGGGTTTCTTACCTCAATAATTGGGCGTTGTCATGAGGAATTGTTTTTTCCAATATTTCTTTTCGATACGTGTTAAAGCGACTAAGGTCGGCTCCTCCTTTCTTTTGACGTTCAAAAGCTTCGCCATTCGTCCAAATTTCCAGCCCCTTTACCACGACCCTGATATTTATCCGCTGATAAATCTGAATGAGGAAAATTAATCAGGACATGCTAGACATTCCGCTAAGCTGATTCGATTGATGCTGTTCTCCCCCAAGGACGAGGGGAATGGCTTTATATTCCAGAAGAAGAATATTGACTCAGGGTAAGTAAAATAGAGCTTCAGTGAATCTAACATCCTGATCTTCGAAGAGTGAGTCACTTTAAAAAAGAAATAGCAGACCTGTACCATAACTAAATGGGAAGCCACTTTCTCAATCAACTGGAAAGCCCTTTTTTTTATGATTTTTAACTACCATACTTTCAGACGTGTGGTAACTGCTAAAAAAAAAGAAGCTTGCCCCCTCTTCACTGCCCCCCCCCCTTCATTCTATCATTGAAAGACTATGTCTATATTGGAATCTCTGCTTTTAAAACTGTATACTCACGGCATCAACAGCATTTGCCAGTGTTATAACGCGATCTTTAATGACATCGGTGTCATTATTGTATTTCAGGTACTGAAAAATAAAAATCGAAAAGCCCTTAGTAAATTCTGAATCTGATGCAGAAGAATTAAACATTTAAACCAGGTTTTAACCGTGAAACTCCAAGGATACTTCTCATTAAAGTATCATTACACATTAAACATCTTTCTGAAAAGGTTCTGATATTTCTAATTCATTAGGAATGTTATGATGAAACTCCCACTTTCGTATGTCAAAGGAGTGTTTACAACCATAACAGTATGAAAAAAACAAGGCAAGGAGATGAAAAACACTTGGCTGTGTGATAGTTTCATCGTGTTAACTCTTAAGAGACACTAACAGCTATTTTCTCTCTGCAGTTTTAATCTTCAAAGTCGTGAGAACAAAGGAAATTATCGTTCTTTTAAAAACTTCGTGATAATTTATCTTTTGTAGGACCATAGGAAATGTATAGGAAACAGTATGAACTAACACCTAATTGTCTCAAGTAGTAAATGCTAGAAAATTTATGGCAGCTGGAGGATATATTTCGACCAGACAATTTGGAGTCGAAATGGTTATCATCCTTTACTTACCATTCCAAAATCAACAACCATAAGCACTTCATTGTATCGTGTCTCGCTTGTTGTCAGAAATGGTTTGTAGAATTCATCAATGTCACCCAAAACGCTTCTTCTTACCTATTAGTAAAATGAAAACGCAGAAAACACTTAATCTAATTTTAATTTTTCATGCATTTCATCCACTGATTCTTTGCTATACAGAACTTACAGAAATCTAAAACTTAATAATAGGAAAATCATAATCAGCATTTTACCCTAGAAAATGGCCTTGACTTTTCATCTGAATAATGGGAATCTGCGTGAGTTGCTTTGTTCCCTGAGGTAAAGAAAATACGACCAAAAATTCATGTTAGGAACAAGCCTTGCTAAAATGAATACAGCTCTTGAGACTCTTTCATTACAAATAGGAGAAGAACGAGCAAAAGCTTTCCTCTCTATGTCAGAATGTGCTTGTGTCTTTACAGTTAGGACTGTGCAAAATCCTGGTTGAAGGCGCATTTGACTCTTATAACATATGTCATCAACTTTACGTAGAGTGCCCGAGGGCATGTAGGAACATGTGAGAGTGCTGTTCAAATCAGAGAAATCTTTTACCTATGGCCGCAGGAAACTGACATTGATGTTCCTCAAAATTGATTTAAACGTCGATCAACGTTATTAGAATATGAATGCTTTGGGATGAGCTCAACCTTTTTTTTTATTACATTTCTCATTCCATTTATAACCCTACCGCAGTTATTACGAATTCGAGTGGCTTCGTCTTGCCTCGCCCAGACCACTTTGTGGGCCCCAGTTTCCTAAAAAGAAGTTTGATCACAAATAGAATTACTGATCGAAGTTTTGTCCTCTATCTTTAAATCACAAATGAGAATCAATTGTAAAATTCACTTTTTTAAGTTTCATTAGATTAAAATCTAAATTCCAATAACAAGACTTACTCTTTTTCCCGACTCGGGTGTTATATAAAATGTATCTTCACCATCATCTATGAGCCCTCTGTCAAAAGAAATTATAAGATGTTTTCTTCATCTACTGTTATACCTGAGTATGACTCATGGTAATTCGAAGCTAGCCGGGAATATCCACGTTTGTAAATTAGTTCCTTTACTCTGGTTTCACTTTAAGTTAGTGGTCTGAATATGATAGTAGAAGTCGTGTGGTTGGATTGTGCGGGTGAGGGCTTAACGTAAGAGTTCTGTCCGCAGTTTTAATAGAATCCGAGGATTAAAAAAAGAACTTCTTTTCTCTCCGGCCCTTAGGGAAATGTTTGTGAAACATCCGCTACTTTATCCAACTCTCCAAACCATAGAAGTGCAAACTCTGATCAAAATCTCGAAACGGCTATTTTCGGTTTGCAGTTGTACTCGTAACTTCTTCATGTCTCACAAGGGAAATAATTTGTACTTTCTTACGGAAAAAAAATTACTCTTCCTTCATCCTTCATGATCAGCTGCTTGTGTGTTCTTTCAACGCAAGAACTTCTTTAGACTTTTCTCGTGCACTTTGACAACCTATGCGTAAGCCATCATCATAAGCAATTGAATCTGTTGTGACATCGACCACAGTCCTTCAAAGACCACCCTCCAATGATCGTACTTTCCCATTGTTTTACTGGTTTGTCTTTACTCTTGAGTGACTCACACAGCAACCTAAGCTAGTTTTCGAGGCATCGCTCCCAGATTTTCATTCATGAATGTAACTTTAATTAAAATTAATTGATGATATCTTCTCGAAACTTAAAAGAAAATATCTATAAATAGTAAAAATACCTCAGTCCTGAGCAAGTATTTAGTACAACGGTTGAATCTTTCGAGCCCCGGATGGACCCTTGATAGTGGCAATGATCAGAACCCTCCTGAAAAAGATCGGGAAAAGAAGAAAAAAGACACTGAGGGAAAAAATATCAATGAGCGAAGTACGTAACAACTTAAACGTGGACGAAAAAATAAGTCCTTGTGTCCATAATAGATTGCGTTTGCAGTTCTCTTGTGATAAACGGCTCTCCATTCTTGAAAGAACAGCGTGACGATCTTTTTGGTAAGATAGTTGCAAACTGTTTAAACTTTAAACCCTTTGGCACCTCGTAAGGATGCCAAATTGTTTAGTTAGTATTGCCAAAGTAATCTTTCTTTACATGGCAATGCTAAAGAGATGCTAGTGGCATGTTTGTGATGAGAGATAATATTAAGACTTTTCAAACAATTTCCCAGCAAATCACCTCTTGAATCACTTCTGAACCATTGCTAGCAAACGTGCGAACGGCAAATGATGGAGAAATAAGTTCTCTGCGGGATAATTAAAGCAAAAAAAAGTAATAGGGAAATCCTTTTCATAAAGAAACTGATAAATTAACAATCATCATAAAAATAACAATAACGACAGTATTTGTGCGCATTTGTGACCATAGTTGTAACTTACAGAAAATAATCAAGTTTCTTATTCAACGCCCAGTTGTTTGAAGGTCGATGACCCATTATTAAATCTAAATCCAGGTTTCTGTATTTCTTTTTTCGTATGCCTTTTTGGGGAAAAGTTCTCTCTTCTTTTTGGAGCATCCAATAATCAAATTTTGGACAAAGAGAATAAGACCGAATTCTCTCTTATAGCTTTCAGATCTCGAACCAGATTTTACACTAACCCTGGGTTATCTTAACCCAGCTTTGAACAAACCGGCCCTGGGCTTTAGTGAGATTAGAGAACTGTAGAAAAGCATTGGATGAAACAGGGACAACAAAATCATTATCAGGCTTTAGCAGCAGTTATATGATGAAATGGAACATACTTATTTCTCTTCACATCCAGGGTCCAGTCCTTGTCAAAGGCAGTCAACCGGTAAGAGGCATCATCCACGTGACCTCCCTAAAATAACGTAGTATCGTCATCCGGTGTCCACCTCACAAGTGTTAATTAACATTTGATCATCTTGGTCGTCGAGGTTAGTACATTCGAGGATAGTGCGTTCCGAAGAACGCACAAAGGACTTTAAAGCAATAGGTAGTTCCGCTCGGCCAGAATCTTATGAACTCTCTGATTGGTCAATTTTTTTTGTTGGCATCAATTATAAACAACGTTTTATGAAATAAACTCCGGTCAAACAGAACTAAAAATCCTGAGTTCCCGAATTTTGCTTGGCCATATAATTGGCAGAAAAGTTTTTGAACAATATCGTTTCCATGTATCTTAAATTTTTAGCAGGAGCAGTTTTTCTATTCTTTTATTCGTTAAACTAGGTATCATCAGATCTGAACGCGTTTGATTTCCACCCTTCTCGCAGAGAATTAAAAAAGTATTATTAAGATAACTTTCAAATGACTGTCAAAGCATTTATATTCAAAAGACCTTTTCAGATGTTGATAAATCCCTTTTTTCCAGCCTGCCATCAACGCGTTCCGGGAAAGTGATGTCATATTCTTTTGGATAAGCCCCGTCTGCAATTACAAACTGTCTTTTGTTAACCTTTTCACTGCCGAGCGATAAATATCAATTCTTTGCAGTATCTGCCATCATACATTTCCTATAGGTTTGTCCATGAGAGATTATGGTCAAATCATTGAAACAGTGTTTGTTTCTTCTCGTCACCTTTTTGCTTGCATATATTTGATAATTCAAAGGGAAATTAGCACTTGGTCGTTCTTGGGAGTGAAAGAGCAAGAGAATTTTAAAAAAATCTTTAAGTCAAGTTTGAAGCATAAGAAAACCATAAAACGTTATGATAGCATCAGTATATGATTGTCAAATCATAGTAATTATAAAGATGGAAAAAAAGAAATGACAATATATGGAAGTAGACTGCCAGAGACCAATAGTTCCATGCAGTTTATTTAAAACGATTAGTGATGTTGTGGCCAGTAAAAAAAAATATTTCTTGCCCAGGGTTATTACATCCGCATGTTAGTAGGACAAACAAAAATTTGGAAAGAATTTCATAAAGCCATATACCTTTCTAAAACAACAAATTCGTAGTTCCAAACTCACTTCGTTGTTTTAGCAATTGTATTTTTTAATTAAAGAACTATAACCAGAGTGAAGTATGAGGCTGGGCGGAAATCTTGTCAAACATTTTTGTTGAATGGAGTCTGTTTTGGGGTTAAGCTTCGATTTTTATCCGAAAAGCAAAAGTATTTGTTTGAGTCACCATCATGGGTGTTTAATTAACCGAACACATTTCTTATTTTGCATAAAACTATTTCAACTTGGCTCTCTTTTGTTACCTAAATTTTTGTTTGTTTTTTTTTTTAATTTGTGATAATTTTTTCGTTTGACATGCTTGCAAATGACATCATGATACTATCGAAACGCGTAACTATATGTAAACTGCTTACAAAGTCAAAACAAATGCAAAATATAAATTAATCAAAAGATTTTTAAATGACTGTAAATATTTGAAAATCATGTGCGTGAACTGCGGATAAAGAAGTGAACATGAAAGCGATCTTTACAAGTAATGAACACTCCTTAAACAGTAGTGAAAATAAATATGTTAGTTCTAAAATCAACCCGTAAAGTGATGAATAAACGACTGTGAATAAATGTATAATAAAAACCCAGCAAAGACAGATCTATTTCTCAACGTGTCGGCTTCATTAACATTATCGCTATTGTCCAGGGTAAATTTAAAAAACAACAAGCGACTATTTAATAAGGTGAAGAAGTTTAAATATCCCCGTAGAAGACGAAAATAAAAGTCATACAATTGGCACTAGCAGAGGTCTGTTTCGATTTTGCCCATGAATAGCGCATGCCTTACAAGGAAGATAAATTTTTCTTGGTTTTTAAAGCTAAGGAAATTGATCTAAAGGGCGAAAGTGTGTTTAATCATCATGTGTAAAAAATATCAAGGGGACAAGTTTCTAAAAAAACTGTGATACTGCGTCAGTGGAGAATATCACAAGAAAATTTTGCGTAACGCTCGAAACTTCAGCTTTGAAATTCTTTACGATGGTCAACTCAAGTTATCAACCTAGTTGATAAAACCAAAATTATTTTGTTCAAAATATCCGTTAATTACATGCTTACCTGTAAACTGGAGGCTTGCATAGAGCAAGAGTAACCATAGAGTGCAGATGATAAACGAATCGAGCTCTTTCACCAGCAGCATCCTCCCTTATCTAACGTTAAATCTACGTTTCAACAAAGTAAATACGCTTTATTAAGTTTGTTATTAAATGGTACAGCCAATGAGAAGCTGGTATAACTTATTATTATTTATTACTTATTATAAGATATCATTTCCAACTGAGATAATAGGTTGTCGCCGAGCTATTGTCGACTTATTGTCGACTTTGTCACTGCTCCATTGGTTTAATTATTCATTTTCAAGATGGTTAAAGTGGACTTTAACTGAGGCCTATATTTAAAAAAAACACATTCGGCAATGAAATCCTCAGCTATTTCATGAAAACTCTGTTTGAGACTCTATAAACTATAAGAGTTGATAAAAAGGTTTTTAACCAGGCAACGAAGAGACCCCAAACCTTAGTTTCATTACTGATAATAGCAGTAACCATAAAAAGGCAATTAACTGAACAGTTATAAAGACGTGATTAAATTTTTTTTTTCTTTAATTCTAAATTGCCTTGAGTGAAATTAAATGAAGGCCTTCACATCTGGAGTCTTACATTAAAATTGAGTAGCAAAAAGAAATTGTTGACGTGAAGGTCCCCAATCGTATACAGTCTTACTTTTCGTGTCACTGTTTCTCTGACCGCTATCAAATGATTGTTATCACCAGATTAGGACATTAATACACTTTGCTAGAAAGTAGAAAATGCAGACATATCAAACAACAGGGTATTTCCTCTATTAATAGCTTTTTTATTAGCATTTAAAAATTTTAAGGCCTTAATTAACGTTAATTCTACATTTAAATAAAATAACGTTAAATCTACATTTCAACAAAATAAATACGCTTAATTAAGTTTGTAACTAAATAGTACAACCAATGAGAAGCCCGTATAACTTTTAAAGATATCATTTCCAACAAAGATAATAGGCTTTCGCCAAACTATTGTCGACTTATTGTGGACTTTGTCACATTGAATATGTTTAATTATTCAAAAAAAAAAGCATGTACGGCAATGAAATCCTCAGCTATTTCATGAAAACTTTGTTTGAGTCTCAACTAAACTATAATAGTGATAAAAGGTTTTTAACCAGGCAACGAAGAGACCCCAAACCTTAGTTTCATTACTGATAATAGCAGTAACCATAAAAAGGCAATTAACTGAACAGTTATAAAGAGGTGATTACATTGTTTTTTCTTTAATTCTAAATTGCCTTGAGTGAAATTAAATGAAGGCCTTCACATCTGGAGTCTTACATTAAAATTGAGTAGCAAAAAGAAATTGTTGACGTGAAGGTCCCCAATCGTAAAAAAAGCATGTACGGCAATGAAATCCTCAGCTATTTCATGAAAACTTTGTTTGAGTCTCAACTAAATTATAATAGTGATAAAAGGTTTTTAACCAGGCAACGAAGAGGCCCCAAACCTTAGTTTCATCACTGATAATAGCAGTAATCATAAAAAGGCCATTAACTGGACAGTCCTAAAGACGTGATTACATTTTTTTTCTTTAATTCTAAATTGCCTTTAGTGACATTAAATGAAGGCCTTCACATCTGGAGTCTTACATTAAAATTGAGTAGCAGAAAGAAATTGTTGACGTGAAGACGTCAAGAAGGAAAAACCAACATTAGTCACCCAGTAATTTACGGAGGATGCCAGGTCCCCAATCGCATACAGTCTTACTCTTCGTGTCACTGTTTCTCTGACCGCTATCAAGCGATTGTTATCACCAGATTGGGAAATTAATGCACTTTGATAGAAAGTAGAAAACGCAGACGAATTAAAGAACAGGGTATTTGCTCTATTATTAGCTCTATTATTAGCATTTAAAAATTTTTAGACCTTTGAGCTTAAATGGCACGAGAAGGGTTGAGAGAAAACCAGCGTATCTACTCAAATATATATGTAGGTATATATTTATATAATGTCCAAGTAAACTCTTGCATAGAATTACTACCTTAGAATAACCTATAAAGAGCTATTCAATTTACTTTACGATGCCAACTTACATAACCAAGAGTGTGAAAGATTTTATCGAATGACAATATTTATGTCCTACCTGCAAACTTTTTTTTCCACAACACAGCCAGTCAAGCTTGCCGTACATGATTCCAAAGTAAAACACAATAATACATAATATTACCAGATCGGTCGAAAGAGATGTTTTTTGTTGATTTAGGTGTTCGAGTGCAGAGTGTGAAAACAAAGATATCTTGCAAAAACGAATTTTTTTTTTCCATCTGTGAATGTAGATAGTTTACAATTGCAAGTGAAAACATAGGCTTGATTTCTTTTCGTGTTTTAAATGCAAGTTTGACAAAGACCTTTGAAGAGGTAATTTATCGTCATTGTGAACCTTTACAAAATTAACACCGTTTTATCAACTTCATCTAGGAGCCAACAAACACATCCAAACATGTCAACGATTCTTAAAAAGGTGTAATCCAAAAATTGAGCCAACTTAATTCTCGGATTATACCTTTTTAAGAATCGTAGATAGGTTGACCGTTTTTCACGGTCTTTGCCTAACTAGCGCTTACGAAAGATATTAAGCCCATGTTTTTCAAAGAATATGTCTTGCAATTGTTTTCTGAGTACATTCAGAGCTGGAAAAACAACTACCGGCTTTGCAAGGTATTTTTGTTTCACACTGTACTCGATCAGCTAAATCAACAAAAACACGTCTTTTGACCCACATGCAAATACAAGTTTTTATTGTTTCTCATTTTGGAATCATCTACACCAGATAGATCTTGCTGATAGGACATAGTTATCATCTTTTCATAAAATATTTCACAATATTGGCTGCGTAGAGTGTCTTTGCAAAGTAAATTGAATGGCTCCTCGGAAGGAAAAGTTTCATTTGAAAAAATTAAACCTGCTTCTTCTCCCTGCAGAACTTTCAGAACTCTAATAAAATGTTTCTTTTTCTACAAACTGATAGAGGACTTCTCAGGGTTTCTCTTAAATTTCTAAGTGTTTAACTCCATCGCCGAGTTCGTAGAAGAAAACTTGAACTAGCGAATGGGCAAGGATTGGGAATGAACGCGATGGTTCACAAAAAAAGAGTTTGATAGGTGGCAGATATGGATGCATCCTTCCGAGGCATATGTTTAAGGTACACGTGCAATGGCAGTGTGATAGCATTATTTGTCACTTTCAATAAATATTCACAATGCAAAATTTCTAACTTGAGTCTTTATTATCCATCATCTAGATTGTAACATATCGCAATGCTAATACACTTTCTTTTCCCAATAAGCGAATAAGTTCTTCTCCCCACTGGAACTAAGCCTCGATGGTGCACCTACAAGAGCGACGAAAATCATTAATATTTAAAATTTTCCGAATGTGGAATACACTCTGGGAGTCAAATTGAGCTTGCTTGTCTAGCATTCGCGCACTATCTAAAATCTTCGAGCTATTCTACTACTACAAAAACAAATCACGAGAAAACTGGAAAAAAAACAGTCATCAATAATTACAATTATGTTGAGGATTCGTTTACCGCTTTTTCGAGAAACGATGTCAGAAAAAAGGACAAAAGTGCATTTCACAATGTCGAAAGGTACTCTGCGAATCCAGTGATAATTGAATTTTTTTTATATATATATATATATATATATATATATATATATATATATTTTTTTTTTTTTTAATTTAATCAAACCCGTGATGGCTCGTCCATACAAAGACATTTTCTCGGATTTCCCTGGAATCCTGAGGTCGTGGAAGCGGGACAATAAAACAACCCTCAACAACTTTTTAAGTTATCACGTGCACTTTTATACCTTTTCTTTTACCAACAGCCTTTCTAAAAATAGC